TTCTCGACCATGCTCAAAACACTGAATCATCAACACAATCCCACAAGCTTAACCATAAAACCTGGAAATGCCAAAACTGAGCCAACAAACATAAACTAGGAGCAGAACCTAAACCTTGAGGCACACCTAGAGAGCTGACCAGAACGCGGCTATAGAACCAACTTAACCGGCAACAGCAGAGGCGGAGAAGAACGCGGACGGTAATGAAAACAGAGCAAAGAACCAACACTAAAGTGATCATACCAGGATAACCGGGATCTTGAGAAGGCAATGGCGCACGGCAAAGATACCATGATCTCTGAGTCCAAACAAAAGAATCAAGCCAACCTCAAAAGCCAAACAAACGCATAGACCACTAAAGAGCCTAGGTGCAATAAATAAAAACTTTTACCTAACCAAAAAAACCCTATCTCAGCCAAAAGAACAACTCTGAAATACCAAGCAAAGGAAAGGAGAGCAGATACCAAGAGACTCTCAAGGAACCGAGCCAGAAAGAAGATCTGAAGAGACTTCACCTTTGTCCGGTCAAATCAAGACCGTTGAGGGACCGCAAAAGAGAACCCAAACAATTCGAGAAACCCAATCGCCGAGCAGATCTGAGGAGGGAGCAAACCAGAGATCCAAACAAGAACGAAGGAGACAAAGCAAAGGTGAAAGAACCACCAAGGAGAGATGACCCAAGCTCCGACGACGGTCACCAAAACCGCGGATCCATCTCCACAAATCACTATTACCGATACATGCCTTCTTCCCAATCACCCAATACCAAGCGAGGACCAACACAAAAGAAAAAAGCATAAAAGATCGATCTAGCGCTAAACAAGAAAGAGAGGGGTCCGTGACCGGCGCTAAAGGAGCCGCCGGCCACCGGAAAGCAAGATCGAGAAGTTTGATTTCGAGAAAGAAGGTCGCCTCTTTTGTTTCTGGCGGAGCTCACGAGGAGATGTTTTTTAAAATGTTTGTTTCTTCAGTTTATTTTCTTTTAATTAATTTCATATGGTCTACACAAAAAATTGCCAATGCGAACATTTTTTTTGTTTTATAAATCGTGAGAGTTCCGAACATTTGGAACATAATCACCTTGATATCTGGAGTCAGCTTTAGATATTCCGATTTAAAGAATAACCTTCCGTGGGCTAATTACAACCACTACACGCTTGGAAATATCCTCAATCCTACTAGACACAAGAATCGAGAGAACTATCCCAACTAAGATCTCCGTCACCGGCGTCGGATCGTTTCTCTTGCTGCCGATTATCTCTGTCTTTCCCTGTGTGTTATCGCTTACTTCGCTTTGTTGGGTTGTCTTGTCTCTTTCTCCGACTACCGTAGGAGGAAAGAAGCCACGATGCTGGTGACTGGAGTTCTTACTCGCCCTTAGATTCGGCGACTCAGTCCTTTAAAAACCAGCATGGGCTTTCCTCTCACCTCTGGTTCGGATCTCTTCTCGGTGTCAAACCGAAGATCTGTTCACCTCCGCATCACAAATCTTCACCATCTGCAGATTGCACTCACCACTCCACTTCTCCGTACTGCCATCGACGCCATCCTTCACTTTCAAATCTCTATAATCGACGTCTCTATAGCTTGGGTTTTGTCTCGGGCTTCATGCCCGATGAAATAACGAAGACAAAGCTTAATCTCTTCTATGCCGCCGCGTGTTCCTTCGCCAAAATCACACATCTCAGTGCGCGGCAGTTTCACCAGTCAAAATCTGGTAGATCTCAAACCTTCTCGGGTGTTCCCCGAAGAACCATCATTCCTCTTGTGGTCTTTAACGCGCCTCACTGTACATCGACGCTTCCCCAGATTCTTAATAAGCACGCTCCACCGCGACCAAATCCTGGCCACCCACGGAGGCCACATCTCTCTGCCCCACTGTCGTTTCCACTGCATCACGAGAAGTCTAAAGCTTGGGCCTGGCCCATTTCTCGACTTGGGCTTCTTAGCTTTTCGAGCCCATCCTCCACTCCTACTCCTTCAAAGCCCAGGTCTTTTTCCTCCCGGTTTGGGGAGAAAACAACTTCAATCTCATTCTCCTTCAGGAAGAGATCAATTCAATCACCATCCCAGTTTTGGGAGATCGATTGTAAAAACTCAGCCTTTGGCATTATTAGCTCAAAGATCAGTCCGCTCGCTTCCATTGTCAAGAGAAATAGGATTCTCTTCGGTTTTTCGAACCATGAAGATCGATTCCAAATCGATTAGTTCAAAGGTGGCCCATAACTATGCAAATCAATACTCATATCTGCTTTTGAGTCCGCTGGCTTCTCTACCGTGAGAAGAACAGTGTTTTCTCGATTTGAAAAGGCAAATCTTGTAACTTTCTTCCTTTGGAAGAAATCTTTCCCATATTCCTTGCTGTTCGGGAAAAGATACATTCCAACATTTCTTCTCTCTTTCGTAAGGACTAAGGTGGGACGGGACGGGACGAGTAAGGATTGAGATGGGACCCATGTAAGGGATGTGGCGGGACGGATA